TTTTTTTTTTTTGCGTTTAATTGATTTCGAAATTGATTTTTCTGGGTTCTGAGTTTAATTGATTTCGAAAATTTTGCGTTTAATTGATTTTTCTGGGTTCTGAGTTTAATTGATTTCAAAAATTTTGGGAATAATTGATTTCGAAATTTTTGGGGTTAATTGATCTTCAAAAATTTTGGGGTTTAATTGCATTTCGAAATTTTGGGATTTAAAACACATTCAAAAATTTTGTGGTTAATTGTGTTTCGATTTTTTTGGGTTTTTTTTGGTTATTTATTTATTAAATTATTTTTATTTTTGAGTTCGTACATTATATTCTAAGTTCACAAGTGATGCATGAGTTTTCTGGGTTTTTTTTTTTGCATTTTTTTGTGAGTTTTATTGATTTCTGGGTTTTAATTGATGCAGGTGTTAGATGCACAAGGATTCAAGACTTTGATTTTTGAATATTGTTTTTGATGTTGTAATTTTTTATTTGTATTTTTTTTTTTGTATTTTTCAATATCTATTTAATGTTGAATTTTATTGTATGATTATAATTCATTGTATTTTTTTTTTTGTATCGTACAATAACAATTAATATATTGTTATATTTCATTGTCTTTTGCGCATGTTCTAATTTATAGTTTGATGTTCTAATTTATTTTAGTTGATTTAATTTTTAAATGAAAAAAGGCAACAAAAAAAAAATTGGGCAGTTTTGGCACCGGTTAACCGGTGCCAAAACCAATGAAATAAATATTTTGGTTCATTTTTGGCACCGGTTAACCGGTGCCTAATTGGGTGTATGGCACCGGTTTTGAACCAGTGCTAAAAAGGGGGGTATTTGGCACCCCCCACATAGGCAGTGGTTCAAACCGGTGCCTTAGACCGGGTTTGAACCGGTGCCAAAGCACGTTTTTCACCTAGTGTTAGCTGATAGAACCGCTTCACCCCACAAATTGTCTGGCAACCCGGAACTCGGGAGCATGACATTCATCATTTCCTTCAAGGTCCTATTTTTCCTTTCTGCCACACCATTTTACTGCAGAGTATACGGGGCAGATACTTCATGAATGATTCCCTCACTTTCACATAAATCCTTGAGGAAATCGGAGCCATACTCTCCACCCCTATCTCAGCGAACTCTCTTTATTTTCCGCTCCAACTGATTTTCTACTTCTGCCTTATACACAAGAAACTTGGACTCAGCTTCATCCTTTGTCCTCAAAAGATACACCTTGCTATATCTCGAACAATCATCAACGAAGGTGATGTAGTAGCGTTTCCCGCCTCTACTTTCCAAGTTCTTAAAGTCTGCTAAATCTGAATGAATTAGCTCAAGTGGTGTGGTCTCTCTCTTCGTGACAGATTTTTAGGGTTTCTTCACGAATTTAGACTCCGCACACACTTCACATTTTTCAAATCCATCTAATGACATGTTTGGGAGCAAATTTAAACTTTTCGTTTGTTTCAATTTTGTTGCACCAACATGACCCAATCTACTATGCCATAATTCAAAGGACTCAACAATATAAGCAGAAGTAGAAATCTTATTCCTTGAAGAAACAGTTACAATCTCAAGAACAAAAAGGCCCCCACTAAGGTAGCCCTTTCCAACATACTCCCCATTATGGGTTAACACAAGTTTATTAGCATCAAAGACTAACTTAACTCCTACTTTGTTTAACAAAGCACCAGAAATTAAATTTCTACGAAGAGAAGGAACATATAGTACATTGTGAAGGGCCAAGGTCTTCCCTGAAGTCAGCTTCAAAACCACTTTGCCCTTTCCAAGTACCTCAGAGCTGCTTGAATTTCCCATGTAGACTTGTTCACCTTCCTTTGCCTCTTTCATACTGACAAACAGGTCCTTGTTAGCACAGAAGTGTTTAGATGCACCAGTGTCCACGATCCATTCACTGTTGTTCTCAACCAGGTTGACTTCAGAGACAACTGCAGCGATGACATCCTCATCCTCATTCTCAACCAGATGAGCCTGACCCTTGTTCCCTCCACTCGATTTCAGATTTTTCTTCTTCTTGTTTTTGCATTGTGAAGCAAAGTTCCCCACTTCACCACATGACCAACACTTGACAGTGATCTTCTTCCCAATCTTGCCCTTAGCTTGGAGATTTCCCTTCTTCTCAGAGTTCCCCTTCTTGGCACGATTGTCACATGCTTTCTTGTCAGAGTCAGCACCAGATTCAACAGGGTTAGTTTTGATTGCTAACACATTCTTTGGCTTAGAGGAAACATCCTTAAGCCTGTTGGCTTCCTCAATCTTCATGTGGCTCACAAGTTCTTCTAGGGTTAAATCCCTCTTTTTATGCTTGAGGTGATTTCGATAATCAAACCAGGAATCAGGTAATTTTTCAATCAAAAGATTGGCCTGAAGGATTTCACACATCTTCATACCTTGAGCAAGAATTTCAGCAACATAATTTTCATACACATGGACTTGGTCCATAATAGGCTTTGTATCAACCAATTTAAAACTCAACCAATTTCCAGTCACATACTTCTTTTTCCCAGCATCATCGGCACCATATTTCTTCTCTAAAGACTCCCACATCTCCTTAGCAGATTTCATATTAACATATAAATCAAATATGTTGTTTTTCATGTTGTTCAAAAGATGACCTCTAACAAACTTATTATTACGATCAAATTTCTTGATTTCAAATTCATTAACAACGATAGTAGTGGTCCTTTGACTAGTGCTAGATTCTTTATTCCCAGGAACAGGAGTACTAGGAATTTCAATCATGGCATTGGTTTGCTCAATAAGTTTTGGGGCATTCTTAAACAAGACATAATCAATTTTTACTTGTTCAAAAGCAATCAACATCCTTTGTGACCATCTCTTATAATTAATTCCATCAAGAGACTCAACCTTAGACAGATCTAGGTATAGAAGAGTTTGAGAATTGCTAGTCATGATATCAACAGAATAAATAAAAATATTTCGCTTCTAAATTGTTGGTAAAATAACTGTTGAAATCAATAACAAACAAAAAGATTAGAACTTTCCTGAATTGAAAATCCCAAACTCAAGTCGCGCCGTGGAACAAAATCCACTGCCTTAGAAGCGAAATACGCCACCACCGGTACAAGTTTCCTAGTGACGCACGCCCCCCAAGTTTAACGCAACTCTCTCCGTAATCCGTGCACCCGAACTCGAAGAGTGGAATTGCTCAAGAACTGTTCAGATCTCAAAGGGTAGGTTTTGTGTTTTCGGCTTGAAAAGTGAATGAATTCTTATGAAGAGACAAGTCTCGTATTAATATGAGTCCCGGAAAAAGGAGACACGTAAAGCAAACCGAACTAGGAAAAAGGCGAGCCCGATGGGGCAAGAAGCCGCCCGATCGGGCGCGAGATGGAGTTTTTCCAGACATGGTGTCGCGCCCGGTCGGGCGATCTAGAAAACCCATCCCGGGCGAGCCATCGGGCGAAGACGCCCGATCGGGCTCGTCAAAAACTCGAGTCCGTCGCCCGGTCGGGCGAGGGCCGCCCGATCGGGCGTGAGATTTCTCCTATTTTCCTAAGCCACCTCCGCCCGGTCGGGCGAACCACCGCCCGATCGGGCGCGAGAATCCGTTTGCATTACCTATTTCCAACAGTACTAACTCGCTTATACATATCTGAATCTATTGGTAATGTGCAATTACTAATAAAAAAACACACATACATTAATAAAAACAATTATGTAACCTAAGTTGATCCATCAACATCGATTGTTATATTTATTTTCTTCCATTCTTAGTCCTTTAATTAATTTTTGTTTGCGTTTGTTAAAACTATTTTCATTATCGTTACTTTTTAATTGTAGATATTGCATGACCTTAATTACTAAGAATTAGGGTCTGTTCTCTTACGTTGAAATTCAGCTCAGTTCAGCTCAGCTCAGCTCAGTTTAGTTCAGTTCAGTTCGGCTCCTAATTTCCTTCTCTTATTAAATATTCATTTTAGTTCAATTCAGTTCAGTTCAGTTTAGTTCAGTTCAGTTCAGTTCAACTTAGTCCAGTTCAGCTGAGTTCAGTCAATGAGAACAAACCCTTAGTGTCCTTAAAAAAAACTTTGAAAACAAAATCACAGTTAAAAATATATATATACAGAGTTTAGGGCAGGAGTGTACTTTTATAATTTTTTTTTTATCCGAATAATATAAAAATTATTTTTCTTACTTTAATTCCTTATAGAAATTAAAATATTTTCACTTTTAATATTTAAGGAGTTACATTCACTAGGCCACGAAGGCACGAACTATATTTTCCATCCCAAGACAAAATTTATGAATAGAAGTAGTTTTTTTTTTTTTTTGGACAATGAGAACTTCATAAATAAAGGCAAATTACAACCTAACAGATCTAAAACAAGAAACTAAAAACAACAAAACCCACTTAACTAAACCAGTAGAGGGAAAGAGAAATGAATGAATACACCCATGAACACTCAATAGTTACATTATCGCTATAAATGAAATGGTTAGTTGGCATGTCAATTTACATCTTTTAACTGTACTAATTTAATTGTTACACTTGTTTCAAAAAAAAAAAAAAATTGTTACACTTTTTATTTACATCTATTCCTTATTATTATTAAGTACATGATTTACATCTCATTTTATGGGATGATCTCACTAGTATGTACTCTAGGTTTTAATTAAATCCTTATATGTAAGGATAAAATCGAGACAGATTAATCAATACCCTTCCATCCCCAAAATTTCTGACCTTTTGGCCTAATTTTAGTCTCAAAATGATCGACCCATATGCATTAAAATATTCTTCAATTTGCAATAATACTGTGCAAAGTTAGTTTCTCCATGTAAATTTTATTTTTTCATATACTTCTATCACTTTCTCTCTATATTTTTCTACAAACCCCTTTCATTTTTCAATATACTTTTACTACTATCTTTATTACTTTCTTTATACCCGCAAAATCAACTCAAAATGATTTTTTTTTTTTTTTTTTTTTTTGAAAGAAGGCGTATTATAATTTTATATCGAATGAGGGAGTAATAGTGTATGGATGGCCGGTATATCAGAAATTCACAGATTCCAACTTTATAACAATCTAGCAATTTGTTGGTCAACTCTAGCACAAAATCTACAAACCGTCCAATTTCCAATTAGGGAGGCTAAATTTCCGAGAAATTGCCAGCAAATTTAACTAATCAAAATACACAACACGTGCCAATTTATCTTCCAATAAATCATTTTTTTTTTGTCTAATTGGTCACTAAAAATCATACTCCGCATAAATTGCAACAAAGTACGAATTTTTTTTCTTGAGAAATTCGTGCTTAATTTTGCTCTCTCAATCTCAATTATATAATCCCAAGTGTATATTCTGCCATCAACAAAGATCCATTCAGTAAGTCACTTCTATTATCTTCCTTATCTTTAATTTTCTCTATCCTATCTATTTTTATATTTTCTGTTTGTTTTTTAGTAATAATTTATTAGTGACAACCAATATAATTGAAGCTTTTACAGCTGTTTAATCAAATTTTAGTTTCTGGGTATGATTAGTTTGGTTTTGTTTTGTATACATGGCACCTGGGTTTTCTAAGTAATGGTGGAATTTGATTGAAATTTGTATATTTATGTGATTTTATATGATTTTTGAGGGATATTATTGATACCCAAATGATGATTTTGGTGGAATTAGTGAATTTATTGATATAATTGAGATTCCATTGAAATGAAATGGGAAACCGTTTGCTTGCTAAATAAGTGATTCCCTTGTGAAAAATTGTATTCATAAAAAGTATATTGTATAATATAAAGTATGTATGTGTGTATGATGAAATTCAGGTAATAATGGGTGAGACAAAGATGAGTGCAACAAGCCAAACTACTGATAGGAATCAGAATTCTATGCTGATTGATCCTGCATTTCCTAAGTTTTTCACACAAGCCCCTCAAAGAATGCAGAATTTTTTTAAGGTTGGTTGTTCTGCTCGAATTCGTACTCGGTTTGTTATTGTATTGTCTGTTTAGTTGATCAAAGCATTAAATATATTTCCGAAAATGGTAGTCAGTTTGTGACAAAATCACGTGTTATTCGGTGTTAATAAAACTGCTGCAAGTACATTATCATGTGGTTTAATGGATTTTGCTGTTTTTTTTTCATTATGGTTCATGTGTAACACTGAATGTTTTTTGACAGTCACATCTCAGACAAAAGGGGAAAGTAGAGGAGGGAAAGGGTGTATTTGAACCGCAGCAGGTTCTCAGAAAGGAAGAGAAATCGTCGACTGATTGGGAGGCTGATCTGCAGAAGCAGCTGCAACTTTGGCGAGCAAATCCTCATTGGGGTAGTCCACCACCTGAAATAAATGTGAGAATTGATAAAGAAGAGGTCATAAGTTTAGATGTTTTACAATGATAGAACATTCTATATATGCAAGCCTTATGTGTGTAATTAACAAACAAGTAGTCTGAACAATTTACCTCAGATTTCTGTATTTGAACTGACAGTACAAGATGATTGTCTTTACAGTTCTTTAGACTTCAGTGTTGTGAGTTGATATGCAATTGAGTCAAAACTAATGATTTATTTTCTTACAGGTTACTGTACCTGAAGGATCACTTTGCAACCTGCATGTGGAATTCGATGTCGGGTTGCCACCAGATGCTGTGTACAACATAGTCACTGACCCTGACAGCAAGAGAGTCTTTAGGAATATCAAGGTGAGTGGTAATGGAGATGCCAGTGATAAGAACAACTGGTCAATTTCCATTGGCAGAAGATAATTTAGGAATATGAGCTCGCTTAATAAGTTATGAAATGAACTATGCTTTGCTATGCAATAGTTGCTTCCATTGATGAAAGTAAATTGGGCTTTTCAGGAGGTTGTATCTAGGAAAGTGTTGGTTGATGAAGGCTCTAGACAAGTAGTCGAGGTGGAGCAAGCAGCTATATGGAAGTTCCTTTGGTTGTCGGGAACAATATCAGTCCATGTCTTGGTAGATCAAAATAGGAAGGATCACTCTGTAAGTTTTTACTTGTATTTTACCCTCTGTTGTCTTAGAATGTTTCTTACTGTCATCAGTCTGAACATAATCTTAATTTCTCTTTTTCTTTTTGTTTTTTGGATTTCTTAGATGAGGTTCAAGCAGATTAACACGGGATTCATGAAGAAGTTTGAAGGTTGCTGGAGAGTAGAACCGGTATTTGTTGATGAGAAAATCTGCTCCCCCTTTAAACCCAAAACTTTGTCAGAGTATCGCTCATGTACAGGAGGGAAAGGAAGGATTGGATCGAGGGTTAGCCTAGAGCAACTTCTTCAACCAGCTATTGTTCCTCCCCCTCCCATTTCGTGGTATCTTAGGGGAATCACCTCAAAGACCTCAGAGACGCTGATGAATTATTTGCTTGAAGAGGTTGCACGGGTTAAAGGCATTTCTCCAACAGTAAGTTCAAATTGTGATGAGAAGCTAGTTCAAGAAATCACTAATGAAGTGAAGATAGATGAAGTACACGATATTAAGAAAAGATGGGCCTTACGGAGAAGAAATGCTATGCTTTACAGAAAGAAGTAGGAGTATGCTTCTTAGCACAATATTTAGAAACAATCTTATTTGTATTGTTGAAAGTAGATAAGATACATTATTCAACAGCATTGGATTGGATACTGTAGATCAGCAGAAGAGCTTACCATTTGATACTGTGAATCAGCGGAAGAGATTATATACTCTTGATTGACTTGGAGAGATGCAAAGTTAAGTTTAACTAAGAATTTAGATGAGCCAAGATCTGTGATTTAATTTCATTTCCTGTATATAGATTTGGCAGTAGTTTCCGATGTGTAATATACACTTCTGAGTTGCCAGAATATGATTGTATAGTTTAGCAGCATCCTCTAAGCTTCGTTTGGGCAACATATATAACAGATGATTTCCCAAGAATTTCAAAAGCCAATATATTACCTTGTTGAGTTATATAGGCCATAACATCAAGTTTTTAATTTTTATGTACAAATGAGAATGTTGATATGAATATTACAGCTAAATGACATGTTACAACTTACACGACCAAGACTGCTATAATTTAATAACAAGGCAAGCGAAAATTTGCCACATGTAACCCCGAAACTAATTTCTGGTTATTTTCTTTGTACCCTAATCAATATGCCCAAAGTGATGCTTCCAGTCTGTCTATCCAACAAGCAAAGGACCAATCAACTTTGGTTTAATCTCAGCGAGGTGATGCTACAGGCGATTGTTCAGTTAGATGGTGCCCCATTAAGCTACCAAGGCCATGCTTCTCATAGCTCTTGAATGCACCCAATGCTCCCAAAAACCCTTCATGCCTCAGAAACATGGCCTTTGCTTTACCTTTTGACCTGTACAGAGGATTCATAAATAGAAATCACAGCAAAAAAGCAGCAATTGATATTCAAATCAAGCCATCAACCTATATTACTAATATTAGAATTCTGCACAATCAATATTAACTCATCTACAGGTAACACACTTTACTGTAACATTAAACTACAGCTTTTTAACACGGAAATATTATCTGAATGACTAAATGTGACCTGAAATTGTGATAACAGAAGTTCCACAGTAAAGACAGCAAAAGTTCAAATTATTATCTATATCCCACATCTGCTTTCATGCAATTTGAGTTGATTTAAAAGGGCAAGATATAATTGGTCTCAAGGAGAAGCCAGAATGGATCTCAAGGATAATGATTCCCTCATATAGTAAGCCCAGACTGAGGATCTCAAGGAGAAGCCAAAAATGGAGTAAATCTGTACAAATTTGATCGATGATATAGGCCATGAAAGAATTGGACATGGAAGTCATGAATGTCCATAATGTGCTAACAGGTTCTAGCTACTTGTGGAGATGAACCAATTGACTTCCAGAAATAGGCCTGATTGTGCTTAGATTCAGAAAATAAAGTGAGGCTTGTAAATAAGGACACCTATAAAGGGTATGTTCTCTTCACCTTGAAGCAATTTATTTCAAGAGAAAATAAGTTTAGATAAGGGCAAGGAAGTAGCGATTGTCCAACAGATATCAAAAATCTAAAACGACTGCCCAAAGAATAGATATGTAATCCCAAATGTTTTGAAGCCATCAACACACAATAATTTGATGAAAAGAGAAATCAACACAAAAGACACCATCAAACAAGCAAAATGAAGATTGAGTGAAAAGCATTTTGTCACTAACCAGTATTGAACTCCATCGGATATAGTTTCCATAATATATTCATGACCACGAGTGAAAAATCCTCCAAAGATTATCCGTTTTAGTTGCCCGTGCCCCGCATTCATATAGGCAATCTGTAAGGTAATTAAAAAAAGTTAAAAAAAATAAAAGTAATAAATGTATACTGGGAGTAAACTTCTATCAATCATTAAAGTACCAAAGAAACAAGTAGCCAAAGCTTGTATATTAATGAAATTTCTATTTTTGAGATATTAATGAAAAAAGCTACTAGCTCACATCTATATCGAATTTTTTAATTTATGAATTATGAATGAAAAAAATAAAAAATAAGTATAAAGAATGTCAAATTTCCCAAGGCCATAATAAATGAAAAGCTACTCCGTAGTAAATAATAATTCTAACATTATAAAAGCTATTCAAAAGAATTCAGATTGAACAATCATAACTTCAGACTGGTGTAAGGAAATCGCATCTTAGACAAATTCACCTGTGCAACGTTGTTTGAAATCATCCGTAACAGAGATCGGGCAAGGTCCTCCTTTTTATAGTCCTTCAACTCTTTATTATCAAAACTAACCTTGCCAAAACTAGACGCTATTGTTGTTGCTGACAATCCAAGCTGTCATGGTTAGATGAATAGATATTCAGCCATCAAAAGAGAAAAGGCAGTAAGAAACTCAAGTCAAGCCCTTTGCATGTTTAACTTATTATATCCATTCAAATTACATATGAGGCAACTACAACAACAGCAACACTCCCACAACTAAAATTGAGAAAGTTTTTTCAGTGACATATAGACCATACTCCGTATTAATTTATTTTTGCAGTTACAACCCACCCTCCAAGGTTAATTTATTTTTGCAGTTAAAAATTCATTTTCCACACTAAAACAGAAAATTTCCAATTTAATTAATATGTCAAAAGAAGTATGAACATATGAAGTAAATTGATATTTAGACTATTTAGGAAGGATCTACTATACCACCCCTTTCCATACTTGACAAGGGTATAAGTCCAAACATATGCATTCATTCAATCAGTTGGTCTGCAGAGGAACTACTAAAACTCTTAAGTCTCATTCCAAACACTCAGCAACAATAAGTGCCAAAAGAGATCTAGCAATAGCTCAGGCAATCAACAATAATGCTTAATATATAGATCAAAATCATAGCATATTCACGAAAAGAAACTTATCAACTAGTTCAGGATAAAAGTGATTACATATTTTCCATTGAAATCCTAATCATGGATAATGTAAATCATTCGTACTCAGCCAGCCATGAAAACCCAAATATTCTAGCAAATTTGAAAGGATAATTCCAAATATGATTATGAGCATACCAAGTAATTGGAACACCCTTACCGGAAAATGAAATCACATGTATATCAAGTATTAAAATAACAGACCTTAGAATAGCCAGTTACTCCATATATGTCTCTGACAAGCATGTCAATATTTCTATTGTCTCCCTTGTGGCTCAACTCCAGGAACTCGTCAAAGCTGGAAATTGTATTCAGCTAATCAAGTAACCAAAACATAGATTGTAGAACCAAAACCAAAGCACTTAATTATATATCAAGCAAATTTTCAAACATCTCAATATCTCACCATGATCCCATGAATATTTACAAATCACTCAGCACATTTACCAGTGTACAGAAGAATCCTCTATTCCTCTAATAATAAGCCCGGTATACATGATAGGCAAAACAGCCAAAATATTTTATAAAAAAAATTGTGCGACAACATTGACCGCATTATTACCTTTGGCAATTTGTTAAAAGCATTCCCATACCCAAAAGAGTGCCACCACCTAAACTTGTCCCACTAACTAGCTCAAATTTTCCATCCCCATCAACCTAAAGAAGAGAAATGATACTTAAATTTAGAAGCAGGAAGCTGCAGCTGATTGTTAACAAGTTACAAACAGAAAAGCGAGAAGAAACAGATGACAAACTGAAAATTGTTCGGCTGTTCCCCACTTATAAATGCAAAATTAAATTCAGAGTATATCAGCAAAGAAATTTAACCAGTATGATTATTACCTTAATCATACTAACTCCAGAGCCTATGCTGACAAGGAGATAGGGAAATAAATCACTGGCATCAATCTGCACAAAATCTTTCTGACCCTCCATGTACGTGAAAGCTTCACGAGGGACTGCCTATCAAAGTACAGTTACAATACCTTAAGACAGTGGTACAAGTGTGAAGTAAAATACATTACAAGGTGGACAAAAATACAAGCTACTTAACGTATTATCATATTCATACTTTACGAACATTTTCTCCATTGTTAGCCTCTTAGTCCACATATATCATATTCTATACTTGTTTCATTAAAAAAAACAATATAAAAATTATTCAATAAAGAACTAAAGATACATAATTTTGAAGACTACAGACAAGTGAGCATTTAAGAAGGCTTGTTTTTGCAAAAGAATCTAAGCAAAAATGCAGGGAATCGGAACACGTAGAGAGCACAATGTGCATCATGACAGCAGGAAATATGAAATCTAGCCATAATCTATATGGCACAAGAAAAAGGAACAAACTTAAAAGCACAGTTGTGGTCATGCAAACAGTTGTCGATCATGCAAATGTAATTTCTCATTGCCAAATGACAAGTTTGTCCTGTCATGCTTTTTTAAGAGCCCATATTGGTTGTATGAGCCTGAAGCAGCTAATCACCTGTAAACTTAGTAACAACCCCATATTGGCTGATTGGGACAACCAATTAGCGTTACAACTTACAACTTGATCAAAACAAATTTGCTCAATTCTATCCAGTTAAAACTAATCAGCCCATATTCAGGTGCTCATATTACCCAGGGACAAACACTACTTCCACCCCTTGATTTCTCTCATTGAGAAAAACATTGAGGCCTTAGCTCATCTAAATAGAGCAGTAGAAGCCATAAATCCTAACTTGAGGCTTAGCCCCTGTCACTATAGATAAGCAGAAAAGAAAAGAAAAATGGAAATGCCACACAAAGCAGTTGTTGTAACAGTGCATATCATTAATGTTCTCAGCGTATCACATACACAAATCCTCAACTTTAGCAAAAAATTAGCACCAGCCACAAGAGAGTCCATCTCATCCTCTTTGTCAAGCCTGATTCCAAACTTCTCTCTAAAAAGATCAGCATATTTATAGGCACCGCCACCAGTGGCCTGCAAACAACAATAAACAGTTAGCATAATTTCACAGCATAACTGAGAAAAAGCTATTTAGTAGAAAATACAAATGGGAAACATGTCTCATTGTCAATTAATAAAATATTTTTTTTAAAAAGTATTAATGTATTGACAAACTCATACAGATGCTACATGTTGTTTTGGTTTATACCCTTAAGCATGCCTGTTGAAATATGGTCTTTAATTTCATTAGATTAGAAATGAAGGTTGCAGAAAAAGATTCTTAACTTATTGATGGGTTAAAGTTCAAATAAATTCAGACAAAGGCTACCTAATTTATAATTGAACTAAAAATAGGTTGAGATAAGGGATTTATAGAAAAAGTAAACATAGCCTTAAAGTCCATAAAGCCATTTATTAAGTGATTTTTTTTTTAATTCACTTGAGGTTAAAAACCAAGCCGACCCCACTTATGGGATTAAGGCTTTGATTGATTGATTGAGGTTAAAAAACCAAGAAAACAGAGCAAAAACAAACCGAGTTCACGCAAGAAACAGAAAAGGCAAACAAAAACAAATAAATCTAAACTACGGAGGGACTAGACGCGGTAAAGCCACGCCCCTAAGGTCCTCTAAAGTATGAACTGCATAAAGCACAAGATACCGCAATAATGCTAGATTGCTACTTATTATGTTTTTCATAAAAGAATTTTGTCATGTAGCCCTCAAGTCTATACGTATATAACCTAGCGGAAAATAAAGCATTGAACTGCATTTCAGGAAGAGAATATCTTAACCATCCACAAACATAAAAATTTCAGCAAAAACAAGGGAAATATTAAACATAGAAAGAGAGATGAAGAAAAATATCCTTACCTTGATTAACAATTGTTTTTTGTCTGAAATCTCTTGATGACTGCAACCTAGATTCACCTCGATATGTTAGAAATTAGGTCAAATATAACAACTTGCTCAGGCTAGCATAATGTTAAGAGCACATAAAGAAGAACCTAGAAAAGAAGTTGCTCTATAAGCTGGAAATCAGTTTGTGATCATATAAGTAGCTTAGAAAAGACACCACAAATGGGTAGCTCTAAATCAGATTAATAAAATTAATTTGTGAATCATATATGATGGACTACAGATTTTTCAGGGATAAGAACAATATCATTTACTAAAGTCTGTACTCTAGGCATAAATAGTTAGTAGGGTCCTTCAGAATCTACTCACAAGTTTGTCATTCAGGATAGTATGAGAACAGATGGAAATCAGGAATAGGTGGGTTTGGCTTGATATTACTAGTACTGGCCACCCCATGAAGTGAATTTAAAGCACTTTTATGAGGTCCAAAAGTTACATAAGCACTTTAATATTTGTACATCAACAAACTTAGTAATGCACCACCATGCATGAAAATACAAAGCATAAATACCCCACTGACCCCCAAACAATTACCCTAGCCAATTTTCCATGGGAAAGACTTAGAATAAAACCCAAGAGAATGAAATTTAGACTTCAAGTTTAGCTGAGCATAATCTAAGTTTAGCTTGGCTCCTTGCCAGGTCTGCCTTTAGGGACATCTTCAGACATCTAATTCAATCAATGCACAGAAGATTTAAAACTAGAAACCAGCTTTGAAAGAAAGTTTATCAAGCTACAAGTATACACAAACAACAAATTGAAGGGCAAAGAAAAGTGATAGATAGACAAGGTTTGGTAAAGAAAGCAGTATCATACAGCTGCCATGAAGGAGCTTCGATTCGATGAAGTCCAGGCACTCATTTATTTTGCTGGTCTGAAACTTTGCAAAATGGAGCTTGCCGTCAAGGATAGGATATTTCTTGGAACTAGTTACAAGTCCAACCTCCTCCACTTGGACACCGTTTCCAACACTCTCCAAACTACTATCTTTTCTTGAAAAATAAACCAACTTGATAAGGGTACCTACAAAAACAGGTAGGGAATCAGAAGTGATTACGTTAAAGCCACACACATTCCATTGATGAACGATAGGCAGCGATAGATTGATTTCCAAATAAAGTAAATATATCTAGAGAAAAGATGCAAAGACAGCTCCAAGGAATATTAATTAAGTCAGTCAGAAGATTACATTTTAGACCGTCAATCAATTTTGTTTCAAAATGATAAATAAAGGATATAAACACCCTAAACTATGACAAGAACTACTTGTCAACGAAGTTGTGAATCCATAATCATAAGTAAACAATAGTTGGATTATGCCTAGGCCCAATCAAATGTCTCACTTTGGTCATAACCTACTTAGGGTATGTTTGATAATCACTAGAAAACAATAATTGGTTGGGTAAATGTGCCAATTTATTCTGTTTCAAGAAGGTAAGCAATACCCTCGATTTGTTACCCTTCCAAACTAAGTGGTATCAATTACCTTTACCCTCAGAAGTCAGTAGTACAAAATGAAAAGCTGCAGCCTGTATCATTCACTCTCTAGTCACCCTTCCTCTCTCCTCTGTTCACGGATCATCTTCCCAATTTGTTTTCCAAGTCTATATTTTTATTTGAATTTCGATAATTGTACATTCAAGGTGGAAATTTGGAATTTTTGCCTAAAGTAATAAAATTCAAGTATTTGGCCATCCAGAGTTTTGAAAAGCATTGAACCAAAGAAGTCCATTTCTTGTTGTCATATTTGCTTCCATAGTATTTCCCTTTATGATTGTTTTGCCTTTGATATGTAATTGTGCTTTAGAGTGATTACAACATCTTAAAGAATATTACAGTAATCTAAAATTATACTATAATTTCAATATTTGGCCAGTGAAAAAATGTCAATACGATTACAACAAAAAAAAAAGTACAAGTGATCCCATTCCATATATGAAGCAAATGATTAAGAAGTAACCAATACCAATACCATTCCAATAGATAAACCAAATGCATCATTTATTTGTTATTAAGGAGCAACAGATCCAAATCTTTTTCCTTTAAAAAGCTCTAACTAAATATTGTCATTTTCAACTTTATAACATAACATAACATAATCCATATTATTAACTATTAAGGGCATATTTACATTTACTGATCTGAGTTGAACTGATTGGAGCTGATTGAACTAAATAGAGCAAAAAAGAATATTTTATGAGAAAAAGAAATTAGGAGCTGAACTATACTGAACTGATTGGAGCTGAACTGAACTGAATTAACTGGAGCTGAACTGAAGTGAACAGGCCCTAAGTATTTGTTTTATCACATGAAACTAAATTACACTTACTTGAACTCGATTCCACATGTGAACTTATGTTTCCTGATTTTATCCTATCATAGCTTAATAATAACCTTATCGGCCTAAGTAATAATCTAGGATGCTAGCCAACTTAGGCATGATGTCCTCAATAAATTTTTGTTAGTTTAATCCCAATCTTGCAAAATTTGAACTATTTTTACTAAATTTAACTCATTTTTGTTGAACTTAATTTATTTTATTATGATTTAACTTCAGCTATTTTTGATATTAGAAACTAAATTATGCTCTAATTAACTTATTATATTTCTAAACTTAAACTTATGATCAACAGCTCACGTGGGATAGCTCAGATTAATCAAATCACATCAACATAATCCAAAGAAACCCATTTACCAGTTCATCGCAACATTCTTATACTTTACAAAAATACAAAATATTATACTAATCACAGAATAATAATTAAATAATTAGCAACCATTAAAGCATCAAAACTTAATAATCTTAGTTTTCAATGTTACAACATATTCGAATTTTGATATAAAAAAAAAAAAAATCATAGTAAGAGAAAAAGAGAGAAACCTCCAATATCAAGAGACAAGGAGAATTATGATCATAAGAATCGAACTCAGAATAAGAAGTTGAATTTCCATCGATTTCAACGCTTCTGCAACTTTGATCCTCCATTAAAAGTGTCAACTTTACTCCTCAATCAAATTTGATGATGAATTTGAAGAATAAATTTGATTTAATTTTGCGATCTTCCAACTTCTATCCCCCAACTTCAAACCAACTAATCCCTAACTTATCAAAAGTGAAATTAAGAAATAAATTCCAAATTAAATGTTAGATAGAAATTAGATTTGGTGGGATAAATTTGAGTAGAAAATGTGTAGAATTAGGAGAGTGATAATATTGAGAAGGAATATATATATTTGTTGGAAAAATTGATGATAGTTGTATGACTCGTGGCCCACGTGGAATTATGTTTTTCATGGGCTGCCATTTCTCCCATTTCTTCAACGACTTTTATTCGGGTTAGAAGTATCATTTTGGATTCGGATGTCCGGATCGAGTCAAGCCATTTTTTTTAGTTTCACCCGATTTATCTTTTCGGGTAATTCGGATTTGGGGTTCAGTTTTGAGTGGTTATGTTTCAATCTGTTGAGCCTTTTGGTTTTGATGGACAAATTGACAAACTCGACTAATGAATGTTTTGAGTCTTTGGTGAATAAAGGATTCAAGCAAAGTTCGTTCCGGAGTAGGAACTTGGATGCGGAGTAGCATTCTTTAAAAAGCCTCGTGCAAATCTCACGTTCTAGTTTTAATTGTGAGCACTCAATAATATAAAGTCGGAAAGGAACTCAATGACTTATGTTAAAGACTACTGGAATAAAAGTTAGTTTTAAAAGATAATTTCTTAAAGAAAAGATAATTTGTAAAAGTTTTAATAAAGATAATTATCGAAGATAATTATCTAGTTGTTTTAATAAATAATAAATTTATCTTTTCAAATAAAATCTTTTTAAACAAACTTTTGATAATCTTTTAAATAAAATATTTGATAAAGTTAGCAAGTGGTTTTTCTGTGAGAAAATCTTTTATACGGCTAATGGTTATCAAGTTGTTAGGATAGTGGTTTAATTAGATAAGGCTAGGAAACCTCTTCATGATCACAATCTGTCAAGATAACTCCACAAGTTGTTAGTGGGTTGTTGACATGTGGACGTGATTATGGTGGAGGTTAATGACTAAGCCTTCTCTATAAATACTCGTGCAAACTATCTCAGAAAAACATAACTCTTAAGCATAAAAATTCCAGTAGCCATCTAATAACATAAAGAGAGTTATTTTCCTTCATATATTCTTGAGTGCAATAGGTATTTGTAATCACATATTGTATTCAAGTACTTTGGGGTTGGGATTGTGAGTTTGTAAGGTGAGGTTAAGGAAGCTTCGTTGCTGAAGTCTTCTGTGAGAGTTGGGAACAAGTTCCTAATTTGGGGAACTTGTTAACGGGTTTGAATCTTCACTTGTACAGAGTTTGATTACATAGTGGAAATTTAGAAAAGCCTATATCTTCTCTCGTCATTATTTCATTTAGTTAAATTCCGCAAAAAGTTTTTAGATTTCACCTCAAATACAATTCACCCCCCCTCTTGTATTAGCCAGTTAGACTTTCAGTTGGTATCAGAGCAGGAACTCAGAACACGCAGGCAACCCTGTTGAGTAAGTTCCTGGAAAATGGCTTACACAGAGGAAAAGGAATTCGGGAGTACATCCATTCAAAGGCCTCCATACTTCAATGGCAAATTTTATCCTTATTGGAAGGATAAGATGGAAATCTTTATCCAAGCAGAGAATTATCAGGTATGGCGAATTATACAAGTAGGAGATTACGAAATTACGAAAACGAATGCTAATAATGAGGTAATCCCTAAACCTATGGATGAGTATGAAAAAACTGATTTTGAAAAACTTGAAATGAATGCTACTGCCAAAAAGTTTTTAATTTGGGGACTTGGACCCGATGAACATACTCGTGTCAAAGGGTGCAAGTCCGCAAAGGAAATTTGGGATCTTCTGGAAGTTACACATGAAGGAACGTCAGATGTTAAACGTTCCAAAATAGACATTCTTTTGTCTCAGTATGAGCGCTTTGAAATGGGAAACAAAGAATCCATTAAAGACATGTTTACTCGATTTAAAGGTATTACTAACGAACTAACGTGTCTTGGCAAGATAATTCCTATAGATGAGCAGGTCAGAAAAGTCTTAAGAAGTCTTCCAGACAATGACAGATGGAGAGCAAAGGTTGCAGCGGTGCAGGAATCAAAAGACTTCACCAAGTTCAATCTGGAACATCTTGCGGGTTCCCTCATTACTCACGAGATCCAGTCGAACAATCGGACTCAGGAGACTGTCAAAAGTCAAGGGCTAGCATTAAGAGCTAATGAAGAATCCGAAGAGAAGTCTGACATCGATGAAGAAGAAGCTGCAATGTTGGTGAGAAGGCTGAAAAAATTCTACCGTAACAACAAGTTTTTAGACAAGAAGAAAGGATACAGTAAAAGAAATCAGGAACCCAAAGCCAAGTCTTCTTGTCACAAATGTGGAAGCACCAACCACTTCATCAAAGAGTGTCCATTATGGGAATCTGAAAAAGGCAAGGGAAAAGAAACTGATCAAAGCAGAAATTCCAAGCCTAACTTTTCTAAAACAAATTTCAGGAAAGCAATGATTTCCACGTGGGGAGAATCGAGTTCCGAAGAAGAGGAACAGGAACACACAGACGATGAAGTAGCCAATCTCTGTCTAATGGCAAAGCATGATGATGAGGTAGTCATTCAACCTAGTTATTTGAAATCTCTCTCAAAGGATAAATTAATCTCTTTATTGTTAGAAACCTTAGATGAATATAAAGAATTATGTGCAAAACTAAGGCAAGCCGAAAAGGCAACTGGAATTTGTAGAGATCATGTTAAGTATCTGAATAGCTTAAGAAATGATGTTCAAGGCAGATTCTTTGAATTGTTAGATAAAAATATTATGCTAAAAGAATCCCTTGAAAGAGTCAAGAGTGAGAATATCATGCTGAATATTGAATTGACTCAATATAAAATGTTGTGTACTAACATTGATTCTTGCAGGTCTACTGAAGTTCCTTTAATCATGTTTAATAATGAACTAGAGCATGTTAAGAAAGAGATAAAGGAAACCAATGATAAAAATGAGAAACTAGAAAAGGACCTAGAAATTGCAAGAAAAAGTAAAAATACAGCAAGCACGGGTGTTCCCAAGTGGGTAAAGGAAGCTCAGACAAAAAGAACAGAAGGTCTAGGCTATGTTCATAAGAAGAAGTCCACTGGAAAGAAAAAGAAATATGTGAACTTACCTAGTGAGACCGTTTGTTCTTTCTGTGGTAAAAAGGAACATCGCAGTGAAGAATGTACTAAGAAAGCAAATCTGTACAATAAGAATGTGAATTATGTTTGGCAGAAGAAATCTGATTTAAATGTGTCAACACAGGAACCCATGAATGAAAGGGTTCCTACTACTAACTCTTAATTTCTTTTGCAGGTCGAAGTGAGGGGGAACAACCAGTGGTACCTCGATAGCGGTTGTTCTAAGCACATGACAGGAGATGAATCCAGATTTCTCTCACTGACGGCCTATACAGGGGGAACAGTGACCTTTGGAGACAATAAGAAAGGCAACATTGTTGCTGTTGGCAAAGTAGGAAGGTCAAGTTCCCATGCAATTGACAATGTATTTTTAGTCGAGGGTTTGAAGCATAATCTACTCAGTATTTCTCAGTTTTGTGATAAAGGAAACTTTGTAAGCTTTTCTTCTGAAAAATGCAAAATCATCAACAATAACACTGGTAAAATCGTTTTGGAAGGAACTCGTAAAGGGAACACATATACCGTGGACCTTAACAAAGTTCCAAAATACAATCTATCTTGTTTAAGTGTTATTGAGGATGATCCACTTCTATGGCATAAACGTTTTGGACATGCTAGTCTTTCATTGCTTGACAAATTAAGGTCAAAGGACTTGGTAATCGGATTACCTTCTATCAAATTCCTAAATGACAAAATTTGTGAAGCCTGCATCAAAGGAAAGCATGTTCGATCATCATTTAAATCAAAGAAAATGGTAAGCACCACAAAACCATTGGAACTCATTCATATGGATTTGTGTGGCCCCGTTAGAATTCAAAGTAGAAGTGGAAAAAGATATGTCTTAGTTCTTGTAGATGATTATTCTAGATTTACATGGGTCATATTCTTACATAGTAAAGATGAAACTTTTGATATGTTTATGACTTTCTTGAAAAAGGGCTTAATTAAGCTAGATTTTATTTCTACTGAATGACAAATTGCTGATATATTAACTAAGCCTTTAAGCAGAGACAAGTTTGAAAAGATGCGTGTGGAATTGGGGATGCTACGGCTCAAGTGACTTTTGTTTGGAACCCCTAAGGTAAAATCGGATGTAACTAACGATGCTATGCTCAATCTTGTGTGCATAACACAGCTGAAATTACCCAGGGGAAAGATTTGTGAAGTATTGAAAAGTCACGTATACATACTTTTAATATGTTAAAAATATTGAGCCATGTTTTTTTTTTAAGTTCCCTTTTCATCATTCTTTACTCTCTGTATCATGATCACGTAAATTATCATCATAATTTACAATCAATTTGCTCTTATTTATCCTTTTCATTTTTTATTTATCTGTTTTTTTTCTTCTTGTTATTTTCTTTCTTATCTTTTATTCCTATCTTATTTTTTTATTCTTATCTTTTTCCTTCCTTATTTTTTCATGATGAATTTTTCTATTCCTCATAGAATTCAAAAATACAAAAAGATCTTATTTGCTACGTAAGATAAGAAGCATGTATATCAACTTCTTAACTTACGATTTTATTTTATCAACATTGAATTAGATGAGTGCAATTATTTCACCAAATTAAATCCTACTACCTCTAAAACTACCCCACTACCTCACAGTTTAAACCGTCACTTTTCTTTCTCACTCCTCCCCATTAAACTCTTTTTCTTCTTTTCACTCCACCTTCACCTATCAAATTCCCCCTTCATTTTACCTTCACACTATTCATCTTCTCCTTCCCTTCATTTTACCTTCAACACCATGAAAACCAACCGAAACACCACCCCAAAAACCCGATCACCACCATTCAAACCCTCCTCAAACACGGGGTCTCCACAACCGGTGCCAATTGCGGTGGTGCATCCATCTGCTCAGCCAAAGAGGAAGGCTAAGGCTGTGAAGGGCGGCGACAGGAAACGGCGCGCAACCACCAAATTCCCATCATGGAATTACACTCTCGGATATCACATCAACAATGATTGGTGTGTGGCGAGTAAGTTCACTGAATTTACTTCTTTAAT